GACTCTCTGGGTAAGAGGGCAGGTCAAGAAGCTGATCCTTAGTGGAGGAATAACGGAGGCTCCAGAAAGTCGTGGACCCCAAGAGGGTAGAGGCCTGAGAGCATAGTGGGCGTGGCTAGGAGATCTACTGGCCAATCGGCGAAGTTCTCAGCTCCTGTGTACACACCCAGAGGGTCTAAGTCAGTTTGCAATCGGTACCTGGGACTCCCACTCTAAAACAAAAACCTCCCTATGGCTAAGATCAAGGATAGCCAGTTTGGAGATATGTCAAGACCTTGCTGGGCGTGGGAGGTTCTAATGCAAGCAGTTGCTGTCTGAAGGGTGGGAAGGGATCCCAGAGGGACCTGTTTACTGGGATGACAACTTTCTCAGAATCCTCCATAAACACATATCTGCTCCTGCTCCCTGGGGAGACAAGGCTGAGGCCTCCTCAACTCCAGGCCTTCCTCCTAAAAAGGCAAAGTCAAGGAAGACACTGCTCTGAATCTGACCTAGACTCGCTCCACTGCAGGGAAGAAACAACTATGATGAGAGAGAACATGGCCAACCATGAGGCAGGCTCTGGAATGAATGACACCCACTAACAAGAACACTTACCAGTGTCAACTAACAGCACTCTGGCTTGTTTTGTTTTGTTTTGTTTTGTTTTGGATGTTTGCTTTTGAGGTGGGGTTTTATGTATCCCAAGCTGACTTGTGAACTTGCTTTATGGTCATAGATGATCCTGAACCCCTGATCCTCCTGCCTCTACCTCCCCAGTGTTGTCATTACAGGTGTCCACCACCTCGCCAAATTTATACAGTGCTGAGGAAAGAACCCAGAGTTTTGTCTATGCTAGTCAAGCATGCCACCTAGCTGACCCACACCCCATACCTCAAAGCACTTTAAATCAATGACTCAACCTCTGTGTCTCTACCACGAGGCAAATACTACTGTCCCGTCTTAGGAAGAAAGCTGAGGCTCAGAGAGGCTGAACCTCTTGAGACCACACAGCTGGTAGGTAGGGTTAGCTGCCATAGGTAGGTCCCCTGCAGGCTGGCTCCAGCCTCATGCCCTCCCTCCACCTGGCTCTACACTTCGGAGAAAAAGCAGCTATGTTTGTAGGCTTCTAGATCTTCATCAGGCCTGTCTCAAACCCTCAGTCCTCCAACCTCAGTTGGCACCAAAAAGCATCACCTGGGAAGCAAAAGCCATTACACAGCCAGGGAGCAGCAGGGCAGCCAGGTGGCAGACCCACAGGGGAGAGCAAGGGATGCTTACAGCAAATGAGTCCCACATTCACTCCGAGAGAAAGCTAGGAAGGCCTCTGGGTGGAGAGCTCACGGGGGCCTCCCGTAGTCCTCATCTGGTCCCATCCCCGAATCCACCCTTGTGCGCCAGTCCCCGGCCTACCCAGTCCGGTGCTCCGGCCTGAGCTGCACGCTCAAAGCCCTAAAAAGGCAGGGAACACACAGTCCAGTGGAGCCCTGCAGGAGGAAGGGCCAGGGACTGACCCAGCCCCTCCCATGACAGTTCCAACTCCCTCAGAGAAACCAAGGTGAGAACAAGGAGTGAGATAGCCAAGAAGAACCAGTTACCCTAGGGACTCCGGCTGCCAGCACAGGGTGTCCATGGAGGCAGCCCAGCCTATATGCTGGCATCCCTGCCACCCCCACCATTCCTTTCCCAGCTGGCTTATGCCCACACCTCTACATGCCTAATAGCTCTGGAAAGCTAAAAGCCAGCCAGCCAGGGAGTCATGGAACCAGAAGCCTCAGGGGATAATGCTGGGGACAAAGTGGAGGCCTGACCCTCCCCAGTGTCTAAAAACAAACTTCTCCCTCCCCCACAATCATGTTCCCTTCTGATTTATTTTGTTTTTATTGGGGGGGGTTCTACCTATTTTCTGCAAATCTCTGTCTTCCATCCCCAAACCCCGTTTCCCTTTCTAGGGTCAAGAAAACTCAAGGGAGAGGCAGCAATGAACCACCGGCAGCTCAGCCTGCGCCTCCACTCAGGCCTCACATTCCTCCCCTGCTTCTCCCTATCACTGGCTCCCTTTCATCCAGAAGGAAAAATGCCCCGGTTTTTTCCTCCTCCCCTACCTCCTGGCTGTAGACAGGGAGTAAAAGTTAGACAACAAGAAGGACTTCCCCTTCAGTGGAAACCAGAAGGGTGAAAAGTACTGCCCTGGTTGGAGGCAGAGGCCCATGTGCAGTAACCTCAGAGGCAGGGGCCACAGGCATCCATAAAACGAGCTGCGTGGGGAGAGGTACACTGAGTTAGGCAGGCTGAGCTAGGAAGGATGGAGCCCTGGGAGGGTCCTAAGCCCCAAGGGAAGCCATCAGGACACATACACGCACGCACGCACGCACACACACACACACACACACACACACACACACACACACACACACACACCTGTAGGAAGCCGTACCCCCAGCATTGAGTTGGGGAAGTGTCAACCCCCATTGCCTCTCCTTCCAAGGGAAAACAGGTTTGAAGAGGCCACAGGAAAGTCACCTGTTCCTCTTTTACCCCTCCAGAGAGGCTCTTGAGAACACCAAATGCCCTTGGCTTGTTCCCCACCCCCACCTCTACCCCCCCACACACACACTGGTTATTACACAAGCCACTTAGTGAAGCCTTGACAACCCTAAAGCATTTGTAGCGAGGGAAACTGAGGCCTGCTCCTGGGTTCTCCTGAATCTCAGATTCCGGCATCACCCATCTGCCCACCGTCTCCAACAGCTGAGCAGACTACTCCTCTGGGCTACTCAGGACAGGGTCTCAGAATGCCCAACATGGAAATCACTCCCTGTCCTCAGACTCTGAAGACCTGTGACACATGCCATCCCCTCCCCTTCACCCTCTGTCATATGGCCGTAAGTTCCATCCAGCCCTGGAGGAGTTAACCACAGGGCCAGAGAGAGTGGCCATGAGGAAGCATCTCACAGCAGCAGGCAGGAAGCAGCTGGGGCAGACCCGGTGGGCAGTCAGCTATGGGTGCCAGGGAGAGGCGTATGCGAGGGCTCTCAATTCCCCAGTTGGGTCAGAGAGGGTGACCCTGCGAGTCCCCACCCATGCCTGAAGCCTGAAGCCACAACTCTGACCCCCCATTCCAAGCCCCCATTCCAGAGTCAGAGAACTCCCCAACCCTAAGAATCCCAGGACCTCAGCGTCCCAGGAGACCTCGAAGGTCATCTTTCCCACCACATGTCAGCGAAGGAATCCTTCCACAGTGTCCAGCTCGTCGGAACTGCCCCCTTGGGACAGGCCACTCATTACCTTACACCAAAGCCCACCCTCTCACTGACCAGCAAGAGCTTCCGGAAGCTCTTGGTTCAACCCTCCTTCTTCCAAGGCAAATCTCCATCCCCAACCCTCCCTTGCTCCCCGAATGAAGTCGGGCAATGCTGGTGCCCCCAGAACAGCAGCCTCCTCCCTGGTCTCCCAGGCTCCTCAGCTCAGCCCCACACTGAGTTCTGCTTTAAGGCTCTAAAGGAGGTGAGTTATGAAGTATGGGGAAAGGGCTAGGAAAAGAGGGCCCGAAGTTCAAGGCCAGGAGTAGGGGAATCAGAAAGACTCCTAGGTTATCTCCTACACCACCTAAGAATCCTCAGTTTCAGATCCGAGTCCTGACCCTCACACATTCACCCCTCCTATCAACTCCTTCTCCATTGACCATGCTGTGAAACCAGTGTTTGTGGGTTCTCCCACCCTGCTTTGGGCCAGAGGGGTTGAGGCTGAGGGTCTTTGGGCTGTAGTAAGCTTTGAGTCTTGGGGGAGAGCTGGGGTCTGGGAGACAAGAGCTGCCGCCAGCTGGCAAGGGCAGGAGGCACTGGAGGCCAAGTCTGAGCCACAATGGTCCCCACCCCACCTCCAGGCAGCTTCAGGAAGGGGAAAGGGCCCTCCCTCCCACCTCCCACCCCACCTCTGCTAGGCCACACAGAAGGGCTTCCAAGACAGAAGCCTCCGGTCCCCGAACATCGGAACCCCACTTTCCAGCTGTCTCTCCTTTTCCCACAACTGCCTTCCTGACCTCATGATCCTGGAAACTTCCCCAACCAGTAACCATCCTGTCCCCTAACCCTATCCCACGCCCCTGCTAAGAGCCCAGCCCAAGAGCCCAGCAGGCTTCTCTGCCCACCCCACCCCCAGTCACCCCTTTCGGTTTCCTCTGCTAGGGCAGAGGCCAGCCTACAAACATCTGGGCAGGCAATACTAGCCCTGGTCCGAGGTTAGCTCTGGGTGGTTTCTCCAAGCTTAGTAAGGGGTAGCAGGCAGGGGACTAGTGTAGGGAGACCCTGTGTGTTCATTAACCACTTGGATTAGACATTTCTGCCCAGAGGGGTGAGGAACGAATGAGCCTACTGGCTGGGGGAGGGGAAAGGTGCACACATGCCAGGCCATACCCATGGCAAGGGGGCATGGGACCCATGTAAAGAGGAGGGACGTGACGCTGGAGCTTTTAACTTTAACCCTCTGCAGCCAGCCCCTCCCCTGCACATGGATCTTGGGGGGCAGAGAAAGAGCCCCCAAAGAGAGGAAGGAACCCCAAAGAGGTTCTAGCCACTAGCAGGGAAAAGACTCATGCCCTCTCGTGGCCTTCTGCCTACCAGACAGCATGGGCAAAAGAGCAGAAGAGACCCTCCCCCTTCTTTACCTCTTTGCCTCTGGTGGTAAATGGTCTCTACCCACTCCTTGTTGTATAAAGCCTTGTTAACACAGCAACTTAGCTGCACACAAAACTCTTCCTGGAGCTGGTTCAGCGCTTGCAGGGACAGCCGCGCCCCAGACATCCCTGGCAGATCTCGGGAACATCTGACAGCTCCGGGGCTGACAAGTTGGGCCCCCGAGGGGCTAGCTTAGCCTAAAAGTGTGACAGGGGAGGGGCTGACCACACCTTCCCCAAGTTCAGGCTCTGAGGCCGGAGCGTGGTACATCAGTGCGTGCTGACTGCTGGGATGTATCCCCTGCACCCTTGCACATTCACACACTCGCTGATCGCATCCGCTCACCTTTCCAACCGAGGAGCCACTGGGTGGCAGGCCAGGGGGGTGGGCAGTAGCAGGGCGGGTGGCTGGGCTGGCAGGAAGCTGGTGGCTCCTGGGGAGGCGGTGAGTGAGCTTGCCCAGCAGGACAGAGGTAGCAGAGCCGGGTCCCAAGGCCGCTGCTGCTAGCCTAGTGAGAGAGTGCGCGCCCAGGGCGCTGCCGGCTCTCTCCCGGGCAGCCGGCCTGGGGCACCGCCTCCTTCCCGGAGTCAGCGCGTCGCCCCCCACTGCCGCCTCCTTTAACCCCTGCTACGCTCCACTGCACAAACTGTGCTCCACCAGGCCCCAGGCCCGCACCACGGTGCACCTGGGTAGGCCAGCTGTCCAGCAGCTCTCTGGGGAACAGAGGGCTTAGGGAACAGGGGTGGGAAGGGACAGGTAAGAATCAAGATGCCAAGAAGTGAAGGAGCCCATAGGAAAGACCTCAACGGTGGGGTCCAGGCCAAAGTATTACTAGGAGGAAGGGGAGGAGGAGGAGGAGGAGGAGGAGGAGGAGGAGGAGGAGGAGGAGGAGGAGGAGGAGGAGGATACAAAAGAACAAGCTGCATTTCCAACACACTTGGGTACCAGCTACAGCCATCTCCCTTCTGAAACTTGCTTTTTCCTTGGCTGTCAAATGTGACATGACCCCTGCTTTTTTCCTGGAGTGACTTAGGATATATGTGACCTTATAATTCAAAAGTCATTGGAGCAGAGTTCTAGTTCACAAAAGGCATGTTTCCATTCTCTTTAAAATGCATCCAAAAACATAAGATGATGTGCCCAGGCAGCAGTAATCCTAGAACTTGAGAGGCAGAAGCAGGCAGATCTTTGAATTCTCAGAATGAGTTTCAGGACAGCCAAGGCTACATGCACAGAGAGTCCCTGTCTCAAAACACACACACACACACACACACACACACACACACACACACACACACACACACAAGAAAAAGAAAAGAAAAAAGAAGGAAGGAAGGAAAGAAAAGAAAGGAAAAGTAGAATGATAGACATGTCATACTATGGATAATCAGATTCCTTAAGTGAAAGGGCAGAGAGTTTTCACAAAGTGTTTGCACAGATTCCTGATTTTCAATCAGGAGCTATTGACTCTGTGGAGCAGATGGCACCAGTTTGGAGGGCTAATGGAATGCCAAAACATTTGCTGAATCTAGAGAGCCACCATACAATCATTCCAACTTTTTGTTATCTATGAAACATGTTTATACTAAAAATAATAAAGGGGAAAGCACTTGAAACATTTGGATCAACATATAAATGATAGAAGCAGACAGGCGTCTCCTGAAAATGTTATAGTTAACTTTATTTATTCATTTATTTATTTGTTTTTAAGACTATGTAGCCCTAGCTAGAACTTGCTATGTAGACAAGGCTGATCTCAAACCCAAAGAGACCCTCCCACCCCTGCAAGTGCTAAGAATAGCTAGATTAAGTTGTCAATTTGACACAATCTAGAATCGCCTGGAAGAGGTTCTCAGTAAGGGATTGTCTACATTGGGTTGGCCTGTAAGCGTATTTGTGGGGATTGTCCTAATTAAGTTCACTGACATGGGAAGACCCAACTCACTATGGATAACACCATTCCTAGGTGGGAGTTCCTGGACTGTATTAGAATGGGGAAATCAATGGAGCCAAGCCAAGCAGGCAGGCAAGCAAGGCTACATGCATTTGCTTCTCCTGCTCTTGGCTGTGGATGTGACGTGACCTGCTGTTTGGAGTTCCTGCCTTGACTCCCCATGATCCTCATTGATGGACCCCTCTTTCTTCATTAGGCTGATTTTTGGTAGGGTATCTTTCACAATAACAGAAATGAAACTAGAACAGAAGGGGACAGCCATGTGTCACACGCCCACTGCATGCCGGACACTTGAAGAACACTCTACCTTCATTCACTCTGCTATTACAGCTAAGGACAGGAACCTGACAGTGGTTAGGCAACATGACCTATCAGAAGCCAGGCAGTACAGTCAACTCCAGGAGGGAACTTGAACCTGTACCTGCTAGTTCTGGTCCCAAGCCCTTCAAAGTATGTTCGAAAGGCTCATGCCTTGCGCATCTGAGCTAGGCACCTACACCCCTGGGTGCATAAGTTTACATCCATAGGACTTTGTGTCGTTTTGATTCATTCAGCTAAATCCTCCCACAGGCAGGCCTCAGTTCACACCAGGAGCAGAATGGCAGGGGCCCAAAAAGAGGGACAATACCCCAGTAACAATAAAACCTCTTGGGAATAGAAGAAAGGGAGTGTCCCCCTCACAAACATATAAGGGAGTGGCAGAGAGAGGCAACATCACCCTTCCCCCATACCCTCTCTCCTTCGTCCAAAGAAGATAACCTCCCTACAACAGCCCAGACAGAAAGCGTTCAAATTCCCACACCTCCAATCCCAGCACGTCAGAACCCACAACTCCAGAAGTGTCAGTCCACCAGTGCATATATGCTGTCCAGGGGCAACAAACACAAAGGAAATTATAAACTCTGTGGGAACACTGGCTAAGTCCTCCTCACCAGGCCCAAACCAAGTCTCCCACTCACTGCCTTTGCTCTAGGTCAAAGGTGATCTTGGATCACCTCAGCCTGCCTAATTCCTATTCTCCTACTGTAATCCAGACTAGGAGGCCCCTCTGCAGCCTGGGCATCCCTGTCCAGTTAAGGACTTAGAAGATCCCATGTCAATTCCAACTCTCTTGTCTCCTTTCTTCATGGGTAAGTCGCACAACAGAAACATGGAATCCCTCTTAATTCGGGTCCCCAAAGCTCCAGTCTCCTCCTTTATAACTGCACTACAGTCTCCCAGCTGACATTAATTGCTGGCTCCCAGTGTCAAGTGTGACCCCAACTCTCCCTCAGACAGTTCCAGGAGCTCTGAGCCCTCAAGCCTTCTCTCTCTCCATCCTTCATTGTTGACTTCCATACCTTTCTCATCCAACTGTTCTTTCTTCTCTCCACCAGCATTCAAACACCACCAAGCTTACCCCTTTCTCCTCCATCAACAACGTGGCCTGAGTGGGAACTCCATGACATAACCCCTCACTTCTGGCTGGAAGCTAGCCAGTGATGCCAAACTTTAGCATCTCTAGGATACCCTTCCGTGATCTTCAGTGCAGTTTCTTTTGTGGATTGATGTTTGTTTTTGAAGACAGGGTCTCATAAACACAAGTTGGCTTTGAACTTGCTATGTAGCCAGAGACGATCATCAATTTCTGATCCTTCTGCCTGGACCTCTTGAATTCTGGAATTCCAGGTGTTGTGACACCATGTGTGTTTCACGCATTGCTGGTGATCAAACACAAGCAAACCTTCACAAATGGCAGGTGAGCACTCAGCCAACTGAACTACATGCCTGCGCCCTCAGTGCAGTTTCTTGCCATTCTGAATTCTGAACAGGACCCTCTTTGAGAAGAGGGAGACTGAGTCTTGACCTTCATGCTGGCTCTTCAGTGGCCTTCTTCTGGTCCAGCCAGTTCTGTCTGTCATCTGGCCCTGCCTAACTGCAAGAATTAATTTCAAACCTTTATCAGTTGTCTGGGATGACGGCAGTGACGTGACAGGCAGCATGCAGGAAGAGGGTGACACACCAAAGGCCTTCAGGGAGCAGCTTCATCAGTAATGAGTAGCCACCTGAGACACAGCCATGGGGCTGAAGAGGGAGGCAGGCAATTGACAGGGACACACATGGGACCTCTAGGGCCACTATGAGCAACTGCTCTTGGGCCTCCCCACATCTGCACTCCTGTGACCAGAGGGAATGCAAGACGCACAGCAGCAGCTGGGTAGTGGTGGTGCACCCCTTAGTCCTAGTGCTCAGGAGGCAGAGATAGGCAGAGCTCTGAGTTGGAGGCCAGCCTGGTCTATAGAGCAAGTTCCAGGACAGTCATGGCTACACAGAGAAACCCTGTCTTGAAAAGCCAAACTGATACTTAGAAAAAAAATCCCCACCCTCCAAGAAGGACCCTAGCCTACTGCACTACTCGGCAGGCCTCCTCTGTACCTTACACTTTTGTTCCTGTACTCCTAAGTGTTGAGTGGGGAAAGGCCAATTTGTATTTTCTCTTTCCTTTCTCTACTTTACCCAGCACCCAGCTCAAACATAGGACAGTCTCAGTGAATGTGGAATGAATGAATGAACGAATGAATGAGAGAGAGAGAGAGAGAGAGAGAGAGAGAGAGAGAGAGAGAGAGAGAGAGAGAGAGAGAGAGAGAGAAATGGCCAGATGGATGGTCAGTTACGAAATGGGTAAAGGGGACACTTAAGACATCTAAGTGTTGCACAGTACTCCAACAAGATAACCAGGCAAGCGTTTATCTCTGAAGCTGCAGAGAAACAGAGCCTGTGAGGATATGGGAAGCATCACACTGATACACAGAGGCCCCAGACGCCTCCTGCCCTCCCCCAGGTCTGCAGCAGCATAGGAGCCCCTCTGAAATGCCCGCCCTCCTCCAGCTAGCCAAGCCTGTGGAGGTTTCTCTCTCTACCTCTGCCCAACAGCAGCCCTTCTCTCCCAGCCTGCTTCCACACCTAAATAGAGCCTTGAACTCAGCGCGTCCCTACAAACACAACAGAGGAAGTCAAGGAGTTGGAGGACTTCCGAGGAAAACCCGGCCTTCTTCCTGATTTCCAGGAGCCATCCCACAACAAGGGCACTTTCTGAAAAAGCCTACTGCTCCCCGCTTCTTATCTTCCTCCCCATTGCGTCTCCAAACTGCCTAGGTCTTCCCCGATTCTCTTCCTCTAGGCCCCGACGACCAAGGTTCCCAGGGCTTCCCAGCCCCCCTCAGGCCAGCTTGCCCTTCCCTCCTCCCTCGCCCATATCCCCAAGCCTGGATTGCACATCTGGTTCCAGTTGTGGTTGGTCCATTCAGGGGCAGGCCTGGAGGTTTCTCATAAAACTGAATAATAACCAGTGTTGGAGCTCCGTAGAGTAGGGGGGAGGGAGAGCAAGAGGCTGAGAGTGAGGGCAGGAGATAGGGTGACAGTGGAGGCTAGGAGGCTGGACCCCAGGAAGGAGCTGGCAGTGCCTGGCACCTAGGAGAGCCCACGGGACGCTCGCTAGCTGAAGATGGGCCATTGAAAGGATATGGCAGGAAAGTCGGGAACTAGGAGAGGGGTACAGAGAGGGGGTCACGGAGAACCAGGGGAGAAAGGTG